ACTTTGAGTTTATGCGAACATCCTCAGGTCCTGTCTGAAGTGTGGCAGGAAGCATCAAATGTGAAGTGGTTTTTAACACTGGGGGTGGGGCAGGGTGTATCTGCCGCTTTCTGTGTGGCAGAGAAGAGAGGGTAACACAACAGCGAGACCAAGTCCTGCCCGGCAATGGATTCAATACTAAGGTAAAAAGAAGCATCTGAGAACACCTGGGTATTTGCAGCTGTTGCAGTGTTGAAATAAAATATGGCAGCTTTTGAAATAACACCTGCCCTCTAATGAGGTTTTAACTGTTGAAGTCAGACTTATGCTAGTTTCCAGAGCAAAGTTTTGTTCTGTTTTCCTCACTAGCTAATTGTTTAAAAACTGGCATTCAGTGCAAACACTGTACCACCCACATCTTCAGTAGTGCTCAGAACAGCTACAAACTTTTCTCCAGTGGTCCCAGGGGGTCACGTACGGCCTGTATTTCACAGCAGGAGGCTTTCAATACACAATCATTTGCAAATACCTGCGCTGTCATAAAAGAGGGGAGCTATGGCTATGAGATAGCAAATACATACTGTTTGTACCTCAAGATCATATGCAGTTGTGGATATAACGTGCTCTTTCCTCAAAATGATCCAGTACCATCCATGTTGCTTACTGTTTTCTGTCTAAAGAAATATTTTCTCTAATGGATCCCATGAAGATGTAGTTCAACTGTGCAGAGGCAACAGGCATAGAGAAAAGTTGATATTTTATGCAGAACTCTGGTGGAACCAGCATCTTGTTCTGTTTTAGGTACATTCTTGAAGCTGGAGGCATTTCTACCACCAGATCGGTCTCTTGGTGACTATTAAGTAGAGGCAGCAAGGCAGCAAGTGTCTGTAAGAGCACAAGCATGATGTGAGACTGAATGAAACCAGTATCTTCTAAAATCTGCCTAGAGTCTTTTTCTTGTGCAAAGGCAGGGATGTAATCCAGAACTGTCTCCAGGTATCCATCAAATATGTTTTATTTGGACTGTTGTATTTCTGACTAAAGAATTATTTGACAGCTCTGAGGGCTTTTCCAAATCTTCGGGGTATGTTGTAGTCTCTTTGAATTTTTCAAAGCAGCAGCCCACAGGAAAGTTCTGATGCATCTTATGTTCTTATTCAGGGTATAATTTTCTGGGGTTTGGGATGTGGCTGCGCTGGAAAGCAGGAAGATGCAAGGTAACATTCAAGCACAAGCAGCGCCAGCAGCAAGGACAGGGCAAAGTGTGAGCACCCAGGTGGTGAGCCCTGCAGCGCTCTGAGTGCATTTTTGGTTTCAGCACATGCTGCTGCCCACATACCTTTACCACTGCTGCTGCTACCTCTGCTGTGTAGGTTATGCAGATATTATATCTTTGTTTGCTACCTACTTGCCGTGCTGAATTCTTCCTGAGGTGTCATTAACTGCCCTGGATGGAAAATGCAGTATCAGTGCTCTTCACAGCTGAGTAGGTCAGCTTTGTCTTTTTCCAGCTGTAGAAATGGCTGGCACTTAAAAAAAAAAAACGTGTTTGATCTGGGGAGGCATGTTGTAAAAAGGTGGATAATGAACCAGAATTCTTGACAGTATTGCTGACTGGATCAGAGAGGAGCAGGTTGCAGTTCGAGAGCCATGTGGCTGTCGCTATGGAGAGGGGGATGATGAAGTGCTCACCCGAGGCCCATTCAGACTAACCTGCTGGTCTGGCTGAGAACTAATTGTTTAATCTTTTAAGTTATTTTTCAGCTGAATTGGCTGGCCTGTTTCTCAGTGGAGCTATAAGATTACAGGTAGTAAGAAAAGGGATGATTCCCCTACTTGGCAGCAGGGTGATTTTTTTGGATTAATCTAAGCAGTTCAGGAAATTGCACTTTAAATTCTATGAAACTCTTAAGTTTGAACACCATCATCCTCCAAACTGACACCTGTTGAAGGCCAAGTTGACACTATTTTCCTCCTCTGTAGGTATGATATAAGATCTCCTGTGGTTTTCAACTAAGAATCTGTTTTCCTTTGTGTCATGTGGCTTTTTTTGTGTAGATCTGAATGGTTTTTATTTCCTCAGTTATAGTTTTGTAATGCCTTCATACTATAAATGTATAAACTCACTTTTACAAGCTGCCAAAAGTACTCTGAACACATTGGATGTGCTGGCTCAGGTTTCCTCTGCAAACCTTGCATGATTGTCCAGTGTAGCTGTTTAATTTTTCCATTAAAATTCTTTTTCTGAAATTATTGCACTTAAAGTGGATTTTTATTTTTAGGAGCTAATGATAGCCTTTACTCGGCTAATTTCTTGCTGTGGAAGTCTTGAACTTTCAGAGTCAGAAACGGTCAAATGTAAATAAATGTAAGGTCGGATTTACTACTAAAGTTTTGGATTTAGAGCTTTTTGTTTATGCGCTCCATTGGTCTTAAAGAGATAATGACCGCTAAGGTTATTTAATAATACTAACTTTCTACTAGGTTGAAGGGGTTTGCTATTATTAGAAAGTGCTCATTTGCTGGTGACAAATTGAGGTCAGATCTTCAAGTGAAAATCTGAAGACTGAAGAAAAATATCATGCATGCTGCTTAACTTGAGATGATTTCCTGGTGGATTGACATAACTTTATGAATGAATTCAGCAACATTGCTGTTTGATTGCTGGTGTCACCTTGATTTCCGCTGCCAGGTAATAGTTGACAGGAATTTGGTACTTGTTGTGTTGCTTTTCTGTCAGCCTGTGCACGCTGGATTGGTAACATACCACTCCAAATTCCCAAACACTAAATTCAGACCTAACTCTTATGAGACTGTTTTATCAAAAGTTAAAAACAGAAGCTGTCACTAAATATCATTCTGTTTCTGAATGCGTGATAAGCCGAGATCCTTCATCTTTCAAACAAGGCTTTCTAAATGGTGATGCCTACATAACTTTCTGAAAAAAATTGCTCCCCAGATGCAGTTTGTGACTGGAAGTGGAGCTGATAGTTGACTTTGCTCTGAGTGACTGCGTAGTATCATGCAAGCAGCCTTTAGATGTCAGAGGAACAGTGCTGCTTTGCAATGGGCGATTAAATGCTTTAAACACAGTAAAACTTACCCTTACTTTCCTTGCAAATCCGTATCTCATTCACTTGCACATACAACAGTAGTTTCTCTAGCAAATGAGGCATGAACAAGTGCTATGTTCAGCGTGTAACTCTGGTTTTGTGTGCAACAGTTTCAAAGTGAGGTGGGGCCCAGAGGAGGAAATAGGAAATATGACTGTAAGTAAAATGCTGTAGACTGTAATACTTCAGCTAACGTTGTTAGGGTTTTTTTATATGGTATTTTCTGTGGTTCTCTGGATCATTGCAGATACTTGGTCACCCTTTATTGGCAACACTTAAATCCATAGTCTCCAAATTCATAGTGCAAAAATTAACTGGTGTGAGTAGCACCTATTATTTTCTATTCATCTGGTAATATCAGAATTAATTTGCTAAGGCAGAAGATGAGTTATGTGTAAGTATCTGGACTGTGTAGGTAACCACCTGCCAAAATGGTTCAATACTAAATGAAGCAGTTCAGCTTTTGATTTGGAAAGGAATACTTAGCCAAATTTAGCCAAAACCACCCTTAGGGGTTGTTTTTGAGGTGGGGGGGCATGTGGATAAAAGGAACAAATGTTTTCATCTTGGAGGATAGGATCCTTACTCAGCAGGGAGGCTTGCAAGGAATGTAGACTTTACAGTCAGTAGTCCAGAGAAAGTCGATTTGAGCTTCTTATCTGACTCACAGCCAAGAGACGTGGCCCAAGGCTTAATCTGTTGATGGGACACATTAAAATGACCAGGAAATTTGCTGTTGTCCTGCTGGAGATGAAGCTCTCTGCAATAAGAGAGAGTCCCAGAAACGTGTCCAAGTTGTTTGGAAAGTTGACAAAAAAATGAAGAGCTGGAGCTCAGGAGGTTCTCCTGCACATGTATGTATGGCAAACTGTTCCATTGAATTACCGTGTCACCAAGTCTGGGCAGATGTTGTGGGAGTGGACAGCCCATGTAGAGGTATCAGGGCTAACACACAGGTAGTGCTTACATTTTTATGCAGTAGCTAGTTCCATGTCCTGAAAGCTTGAATGGAAACTGAGCAGATCCAGGAACATCTTGGTGTAGACAATCTACCATAACAGTCATTGTGTTCAAAATGCAAGATCTTGCTGCCCTTGGCAGCCTGCGTCCTTTCACCCTGTCATCACGTACTCCTGTCCGTTTCCTTGCTTCTGTTCTTGTACTCATGGAATCCTCCATGAGCTGATTTCATCTACTAGTTCAGATAAAGCAACCAATATGGGATTATGTCCTGTTCGGCTACTGAGTTTGGGTTAGCTTAGAAGAGAGCCTGGTGGGCACCAGAGCTGATAGGCAAGACTAACTGGTATCGCACTGACAGATTGGAGGAAACAGGGCTGGAAGCCTGGAGCTCCTGTGCATAGCTGTGGAAGCTGTCGCCCAGTCTTCTGTAACAGCATTTTCAGTCTTTGTCTGCTTACCTCTTGATTTTGTTGATTTACACCTTAATCCTGAAGGTAATCGATCTTAATGCTAGGCCAGTGTGTTAAATTGGTTTCATGGAGGAGTAGACTTGAAGCTGAAGTACTCTATGCCTATTGAGGGATGTGATGGAGGAATATTAAAGCTACAAAAGAAAATAGGTTTTTGCAATCGCAATTTAAGGTATCTAGTATTTCAGCAGTAGGTACTCTTAGTCATGTTTGTTGTGAGAAATTTACCTGCCTTTTATGTGTAGAATTTGTGTGCCTGAATAAACTAAAACAGGTTTAAAATGAAAGCATGGTTTGAATTGGATTCTCAAATAACAATGTTGTTTGAAGTACAGATTTAAATTATGGACATACTATGAATGCTGAGTGGACAGAAAACCTCTGAACAAACTGTAGTTGAATGAACATAACTTCTTCTAAAATCGCACTAATTAGGAGCATGTCTTACATGATGGACTGTTGAAATGTCTTGCAGGTGGATTCACCAATGAACTTGAGGAACCCACATGATTTGGTAATACTAATGAGACAAGAAACAACAGTTAACTACCTCAAAGAACTGGAGGTAAAGCATAACGTTAAGTACTAATTTCTGAAAATACAGGGGGAGGTTTCCACAGGCTTTCTAGTGATAGATTTAGATGGGGAACAGAAGTCATTATTGGCATAATTGCGCTTCAGTGAAAGGATGAAGAATTCTTCAGATCTTAAGAATTTTGTGCCTCGGGTTTGCTCAACTGGTTATCATTGTCCCCAGTTGCATCATTCCTTGTTATCCATAAATCCTATTTAAGTCATATCATTTAAGTACTGGATCCTGTTGCTGTCTACTTTATTCCAGAAGAATACAGAGCAGGTCACCTCTGTTTTACTTCAAGCCCATTTATTATTGAAAAAGGGTCTGAGAACACCCTGCTGAAAAGGGCTTTAATGAACTGCAAACTGATAATTTAAACTAAAGTTTAAATTTAACATGAGCTGGGCAAGCTAACAGCTCACAGCCTTTCTTCTGGCCATGTACTCCCTTCTCTTGTGCCAGCTTTGATTTTGTCAGGTTAGCATAACTAGCTAACTGGGAAGTCAGATGAGCACCAGAGGTAACTTTAGGTGAATGGGAGAAGTGGAAGGGAGGGAAAAAAGCAGGACTGCCCCTTGTGTGGCTGTGTTCAGCCAGTCTTTCTCATGGAGGTGTACTCATTTTTGTGGTAATGGACATTTTAGCTCTGGACGGAACAATAGCTGTAAGCTTTTCAGGACATGGGTTGTGTGTTTGGAAATGACTAATGTACAGTTTGTAGTATACAAATGACTTTCAGCGGAAGTTATCTGTTGTAAGATCTTGTACAAGTTGCTACTGCTGTGTATATATATAGTATTGCATAGTATGTAATCAAATATTGTAAGATCTTGTACAAGTTGCTACTGCTGTATATATATATATATAGTATTGCATAGTATGTAATCAAATGTGTATGGCTAATTAAAAATGCAAATTTTCTTCTCATTTCACATATACAAATTCTTATGGTATTTATTGGGTTTTCAATTTGCAGATCTAGGTGAGAATTAAATACAGCTTACTGTGCTGGGACAGATCATCAGTCCATTCATGAGCTTTATGGGGTGAAAGGTAGCTCCTAAGGCACGTCACAGTTAGGGACATGGTTTAGTGGTGGGATGGCAGGGTTAGGTTAATGGTTGGACTTGATGATCTTAAAGGTCTTTTCCAACCTAAACAATTCTACAATTCTGTAAGCTGATCTATAGAAATTAGTCTCAATTCTCGCATTGGCCTGCCACCTCAGTTGTACTTAGCACACTGAATGGTTAAGAAGTTCATTTTGTTTGCAATCTCTAATATTATTTCCATGAGGTCTTACTGTGGAGGAAAAGGGTCCAAATACGGAAAAGCTGACATAATGTTAACAACTATTTCTTCTCTTTCTGAATGGTATACCATGAATTTGGAATGCTATTAGCCCTCTTCTTAGGTACAGCAGGATAAATAAGGGCCTGTTCAAGTCATGTTCTCTCTAATGAAAGTATTTATATTCCATATAAATAAAAAAAATGTCCTACAGAAATTATAAAATATAGGGAAATATTCCCAAAATTTGGAGAGTGTTTTAGATTTTTTCAGATGGACTTTCTTTTAAGGAAAAAGTTGGACCATTCCTAGCAACTATAGAGTTTGCTTTCATCAGTATACATTCTTCTGTTTCTTTTTTTTATTCCTACAGAAACAGTTAGTTGCTCAAAAGATTCATATAGAGGAAAATGAGGACAGAGACACAGGGCTGGAACAAAGGCATAATAAAGAGGATCCGGACTGCATTAAAGCAAAGGTGCCCTTGGGGGACTTAGATCTATACGATGGCACGTACATCACCTTAGAGAGCAAAGATATCCGGTAATAAGATGCTTTATATTTTAAGATTTTTACTGAATGAAAAAAATGAACAAAACCTCTAAATGCAGTTAAAAAGAAAAATACTGTCACTGACTGTTCTTTAGATAACAGTTGTTTTATTTGTGTTTGTGTGGAATAAAATTGAAACCTCTGCCACTAACTATGAAAGGGTACGACACAGAAATGCTGTTTCCCCCACACTGTCCATGTTAGCCCTACCCTGAAACTTCTCCATTCTATTCCCAGGCTCCCAGTCAGTTCTACCAGTGTAACTCTGTAATGATACGAGCAGACACGTGAATTAAACTGAACTGCATCATGTAGAAGGGGGTAAAATTTGCTTGAGTGTGCTTTGGGGGTTTTGAACTAGATACGCTTCTTGTAGTGGGAACTGTCTTGGCTTAAATTTGAATGAAATTCTGTTGATTACCAAGCTGTTGAACCTTCTGGTCATATTTCATCCCCTGTGTTTAGCAAGTAAAGGAGGTGTGGACAGTCTGCTTGACATTCAGCTTTATTGGCAATTCATCTCCAGGGCTGACTGGTTTGGTTTTGTAGTTTTATTTTTTTAACATAATCACATGGGTACTTGAAGTGGGAAAAGATTAATTTTATGCTCAGATGCCTTCATTTGGGCTTCTCATGAATACTTGGGGCTTTTTTGTTTGTTTCAGTTGAAGAGTCTTCTAATCTGCAGGCGTTGCCATTTGCCAAGCAGATAGATCATTAATCATAGTGATACAGTAGGTTGACGCTGATACATTTTGGAGGCTATCCAAATGTTGATGTTTTCTCCAAAGCAGACAGAAATGTTTTTACTTTATCCTATAGTGATAACATCCTGAGACAACTGAAACCTGAGAAGACATCAGAAATGGTCTAATGTGCTCAAACACAGGATTTTTGTTAGCGGTCGAATCTGAATACTGTGTCTGTCAACTGTAATACTGTCTCTTATGAACTTTAGCAGTATATTAATTTGGAGTCTACTGTGCTATGTTATTATGTCCTCAGCCCTGAAGACTATATAGACACAAAGTCACCCGTGCCTCCAGACCTGCAGCAGCCAGACTGTACAAAAGTTCTAGATCTTCCATACAGTATTCATGCTTTTCAGCACTTACGGGTAAGCGAGCAAATGCAAGTGTGTTTTCTTTCCCCATCAGGAAGAGGAATAGAAAACTCTCACTGGCAGTTCTCAGACAAGGTTGAACGGTATTACGATCTTTCAAGACTGTTTCAGACTTTTTTTAAACCACAGTCATGCCCCAATTAAAGTACCTGCTTATAGGACAGTTTCAGGAGATACACAGATCTATTTCTCTTATTATTGTTAGCCTTATTTTAGAGGGCATTTTTAGGAAATTGGAGTATTCTGTTTTCATAACACACATTTCATTAGTAAAATGGTAGCTTTCATTGGAAATGCTTCTAACTTGTAAATTGTTTCAGTTGAAAATTGGAGAGTGCTGAACAGGGTTGTTACACCTTTTATATGAAGATTCAGGGTCAGAAAATTATTGCAGGCTTGTTGGTAGCTCCTAACGTACTTGACTCCTTGGTATCTGAATGCCAAGCCCTAACCCCGAGGAGGAGATAATTGTTCTTTACTAGTTCAAAGTTCATCTGCTTTAGAAAGGTTACAGTGGAAGTGTGGTGCAAAAATTGTTTTTGTCAATAGTATTATATGAGCAAATTTTCTAATGTAGATGCAGCTTTAGTGCTTATATCTTGGTGTTTATTTTATTGCAAGTCTTTAAAATAACTTTTCATCTACAAATAATAATTTTCTTACGAAAAACACAGGAACTGAAGTTTTTTAGCTCTTCCTGGGTCTGGGTGTACTTTTGAAAGGAGTATGTTTGTTGGGGAAGGAATAAAGAGAAGAAATGTAGAGATACTTTTATAGTGTGCATGTAACCCGACAAACATGAGTTAAGTGCTTCAGTGGTCATTAGTGAAATCAATAGTTGCCAGATACACAGTGCTACCAGAAATCAATATTTCTTCTATAGCATTCACAAGCAGAGGCTGCTTTTGGTTGCTTCCAGTGTTTGCCTATCTATAATAATATATATTATTAATCTGTCAAAGGTGACATTATCCTGTCATGCCCCTAAGATCTCTATATGAAAGGATGATAGGAGTGTAAAATAACCAAGCTGTAAATTTTCCTCGGAGTCATGCTCTTGTCTATATTTCTCTACTCTTAGTTAAGGTGTCAGCAAATACCTGTATTCAATTTTTATTTTAGGGTGTCCAAGAAAGAGTTAATCTTTCCGCACCCTTGTTACCTAAAGAAGATCCAATCTTCACATACTTATCACGGAGGCTGGGAAGAAGTATAGAGGAAATAGGCCATCGTATTTATGACGGGCTAATGAAGGTATGAAACTGTAATCTTACTGTATGCACAAAAAGACTAAGACTAGATATGCCTGGTGCATGCAATCAAATCCACTACTAGTTTTGCACATGTATTTTTGGTTTACATTTCAGATACAAAAGGCAGACTAAAAACATTTTCTGCTAAGCAAGCAGAGGTAGGAGAAGGCATCAGCAAAGCCAGTAAATAGCTACTGTCATCTTTTAACAATTCATGTATTTGTGTGGTCTGGCAAGCCACGTTCATTGCTCTGTCAAGGTAATAAGAGCTTTTAAACAAAAATGCAGGCACTTAAAGAGCAAAGAAGAAACGATAGTACCGAAATATGTATGTTTTTCTTAAATGCCTTCCTGCAAAATATAGGAACTCTCATGGAACTCCAACTAAGCTGCTGATGCTTAAACTACTGTCACTTCTCATTTCGTGTCATTTTGAATTTTACCTGTCTGGAAGGCAGAAGTTCTGTTTCTTTAGTACATTTATACGCTAGTTCATTATTCTTGAACATTCACAACTGTTGCCGAATGGCAGCTTTCAGAGGAAGAGGATAACTTAGAGCAGGTTTGGTGCTCAGTTTTCCATTGCATAGTAATTAAAGTCTTTCAGTTCATGTCTTAGTAGTTAATACAGTTCATGCATTTCTCTTTACTGCAGAACTCTTCTTCCTGGGTACTCTATAATATGGCTTCTTTTTACTGGCGAATAAAGAATGAGCCGTACCAAGTAGTAGAATGTGCCATGCGTGCCCTTCATTTTTCTTCAAGGTAAGAGTTGCTAATAAAGATTTTTCAGATTGTTTTTTTGGTTATCCTGGTTAGTAAACAGGTTATAGTTTCTAAGGCTGTATCCTAGGGAATAACCCATGTTACTTGTTCTTAGTCTTTATGTGCTATACCAGGCATGTATATATATTAGACATTTTTCTATCAAATTACATATTTAATATGTGACTGACAAACAAGTTATGCTTATGCGTGATTCTTACACAGTCTGACCCTCTTTTGATGTCTGTGTTGTTTTTTTTTTTTCTTTTAATTTTCTTTTATTCTTTTAGGCAAAATAAAGATATTGCTCTGGTAAATTTGGCAAATATTCTGCACCGGGCTCACTTCTCTGCAGATGCAGCTATTGTGGTCCATGCAGCTCTGGATTACAGTGACTTCTTTACCAGCTATTACACTTTGGGAAATATATACGCAGTAAATACTATCTTTATTTTCTAAGGCTTGCAGAAAACTGAATATTCTTTAATCTTTCTGGCTTGACTTGTAATGCTTTACTCTTTTACAATGTGTCTTGTGTTCCACATGCATTTCACACTTAATGTTTAAGATTCTGTCAAGATATTTTTATCCAAAAGTCTGCCTTTCAGCAAAGGTTTTTATTTGCACTTGGAAATAAATCCCAGGGAAATTCCCCTGCAGCCTTTCTTTAGCATTTATAGTGGCTTTAGTTTCAGAAATGACTGAATGGCTGTTTGTTACCACAAATTAATATTTGAGTTAATGACTTCTTTAAAAATCGAATTTTGGTTTTGGGGTTTTTTAAAAATATTACCAAACAATGGCTAATTCTCTCCTTCGTCATTCTTCAGATGCTTGGAGAGTACAACCACTCAGTCCTGTGTTATGATCATGCTCTACAGGCCAAACCAGGGTTTGAGCAAGCTGTAAAAAGGAAGCATGCTGTCCTGTGCCAGCAAAAACTTGAGCAAAAACTGGAAGCCCAGCATAGGTAACTAAAGAAGCATCCTAATGGAAATTTGTACAATCTCACTTTTATTGTTCTATTGCAGCAATTATTTATGATTCAAATAGAATAACAATTTTCAACTTTCTGTATTTCTTTGACTATGCAATAAAATTATTCATAAGAATACTTCAAGCAACCCAAAGCTGAAAATGTGCAACACTGTAGGAAAAGCTGATATTTTTAAAAGCAATCAAAGTAAATCTTTTCTACTGTTGAATTTTCAAGATCACTTCAGCGAACATTAAATGAATTGAAGGAATATCAGAAGCAGCATGACCATTACCTTAGGCAACAAGATGTTTTAGACAAGTACAAGCTCATCCAGGAGGAACAAATCTTGAGGAACATCATTCACGAGACACAGATGGCAAAAGAAGCTCAATTAGGTACAGCTTTTTAGAGTTCATGCTCATTATAGCAATGAAGAATTGCACATATTCAGATTAATGTCAGGACATAACCTCTATATATTAAAATGGCCCTGAGTGGCTATTGTGTTTTGCTTATTAAAACAAAGGATTACAGTATGTTCTTGAACAGGGGCTTTTTGAGCCTCTTGAAGATGGAGTTTCCTCTGTACTGATTAAATAAAGGTTTGACTGAATTGGGGGCAGAAGGGTTGACTGTATGCTGTCTTTGTCTCCTCAGAAACCTCACTTATGTAGTAGAAAAAATGTTTTATGCTCTGCAGGGAACCATCAGATTTGTAGACTGGGCAACCACCAGCATAGCTTGCATTGCCAGTGGGACCAGCCTGTTCGTTATCACCGTGGAGACATTTTTGAAAATGTGGAATATGTTCAGGTTTGTGTGTGAATTGATACCACTGCTTTAAGTTGCATCCCATTTTCCTTATTAGGAAAACAGTTCAATTTTTTTGAGGCTTGACAAAGGGGGTACATTTTGGATGTGGTAATTATAGCAAGAAATCATTTGGTCTTATTTTCAGAGTGTAAGGTATTTAATGCTGGTTTCTTTTGCTAGTAATACAAGCTGAGATTGACTGTTGATTATAGAAATTCAGAGGATGTATTGTATAAGACTTTGTTTTACTTAGAAAACTATTAGAATTATTTTAATTGAAAAACTTAACTTTAGTCCAAAGCCTTAGTTTCCTGTGAGTTACCAGCCACTTCTATATAGACTCTTTTGCTTTTTCAACCTGCATAGAACAGCCAAGTATTGCTTTCTAGGAAGTACAAGAATCCCCACTTGAGGAATTACAGCTTTCTCTTACATAAACATACTACATTTCAGGCATGCTAGCAGGAGCATAACATGTTTAATTTTCCAATTTAGTTTCCTTCAGATAGGACAGGAAAGAACATTAGGCAGCTAATGTTAATGAAGAGGCAAAGGTTTTCTAAGGAGTTAGTTTTCTTTTCTAATGTACGTGTGGTATATGGAACAATAACTGTTCTTTGGTGGAAAGAATATTCCAACATAACAGCTTAAAAGTGTGCTTAAAATATTGTTGTATCAGTCACTTACCTCTACAGCCTTAAAACGGATTATAGTTTCTTTTGTTTGTTACATGCTCGTATGACTCGCGCTACACAACTTTTGCATGCTCCTTACAATTTAATCTTTTTTTTCCTGCCAGAAGGAGCACAAAACTGCCATAAGCAATTAATAAGTGAAAGAGCAGAGTTCATTGGTGATGAATCTAGTGAGTGCTTTTGCAACCCAAAAATAAGGTGTTAGCCTGGTTTTATGAGTATTTGCTAATTGTGTATCTTGAATTAGGCAGCGCACCAAGGAAATCTGATACACAGCTATTGAGAAATTTTGGAAGCAAGGTGTATACTAATACTGAAAATCTAGAATGGCAGTCACACAAGCAACACCGCTGCTGCGTTAAAACTACAGATGATTGTGGTTTCATTTATCTTGCAATGTGGAATGTGTCCTGGAGTTTCCCCTTAAATAGTTTAAGAAACAGGAATAATTGTTTTTAATTATGCTATGTTTTCTTCTTGGATGTTCTTCTGATTATAGTAATGATAAATTCAGATTATCAAGATAATTTTGCAAGCCATGAGTAACTCTGACTTGAACTAGAGCTATGCAGTCTAAATAAGTAGATTTTTTGTGGCCTATTAGAAATGTTTGCGTCATACCTTTTAGCATTTTTTTTGTTGATTTGCACTTGTGTTTTCATTGTTGACTTATATACAACACTAATATTATTTTCCATGGTGTGAGTGGATCAAGAAGCTTAAATGTGCATTTTTTTTTCCACTACCCAAATTCCAGCCCATCATTGAGGCTTAGCTACGTAAATGGTAGGGAAAAAAATAATGTGCAGAAATTCAGCCAGTAATACACCATCTCTTTTCTTTATTAAATACTGTTTTTCTGTTGTTTCTAGTTCGGTGAAGACTCTTCAACTTCTAGTATGACATCTTTGAATTTGGATCTTCATGCAAACCAAAGCGAACACAGCCAGTCCTTGCAGTCTTCCCCTGTTGCTCGTTCTATCGTTTCAGTGTGGAGCGTAGAATCCAACAGAGTGAGTGAAGAGGATAAGCTTTGCCCTTTGAAAGAGGAGCTGTGGAAGTGAAACTTGTCATTGTTTATGTGAAACTTCTTAGCATTTGAGCTACAGTTTTGATGTGTGGCAGCACTGGAGAATGTAGCATTCTGAATGTCTTCAACATATACGCATCTCTGTAGTTTCTCTGCACTAGTTTTCCATCATTTGAAACTCTTCTATAGTGCAGAGGGAGTTGTTCTTAGCTACCTTCATAAACGTCTGCTGCAAGTAAAGTGGTACGGCTGAGAAGATAGAAAACTAATCTGCTGATATTCCAGAAAAATAATAGTTTTAAAGTTCTCTGCTCTTTTTTTCCCCCAGGCTATTCCTTATATTCTTATTAGCTTGTTAATTAGAACATTAAAAATGTTGAGAAAATAATAAAAAATAATTCCTTTCCCCCTTAGGACAAACAGCATATTCTTTGGCCTCAGCGATCAGAGTGCATGAAATCTTTTCCCAAAATTCCTGATCCAGAAGAACTGCCAACTTATTTCCTGCCTCCAGAAAACAGGGGATTCAGGCAAGTGTTGATTTTTAAAAATTACATAGTGTGAAACTTGTAAATTTCCACACTAATGTCTTATGAGTATTTTCTTCCTGGAGGGGATGGATGCAATTAGTAAACAACAGCAGAGATGTGTTTGGACCTCTTTCTCTGGCTGTTCCACAGAATGAGGGTGTTTTTCTTTATTGTCATCTTTGCTGTAACTGTAACAGTCAGATTAAATTTCATGGTGATTCTTCCTTGACTGTTAGTACAAGATGAATACGTGAAATATCTACAGTATTAGTAAAAGAATGAGGATTTAAGCACGAATCTGAAGGTCTTGTAGAGTATATTTAAAAAAAAAGACCCTGAAAGAGAGAATGAGGTGAGTAACTAGTTATTAGATACTCAGATAACTGTTGTACATTGCGTAGATTCTCTTAGCTTTAGTTATGATAACAGAAAATTGTGAAGAACAGAAAATATTTTAAAAGGATTAGGAATGGAAAGCCCTGGCTCATTCCTGTGGGACAGAGGTAGACAACCAGCTTAGTTGTGGAATAGTCAGTAATATTTGTTATTACGTAGGATAAAATAAATGTGTCTATGTTGCAATAGATACCTTACATAGATCAAAGCAATTTCATAATATCCTACTCACATAACTTTATAATAGTGATAGTAAGAAAGCTTTCTTCTCCTGGTTGGTATAATTCTAGTATTAAGCAAAGGTTCCCATCCACAAATGTTCTGAAGATTCCTTTAAAAAAAAACAGTGTTCAACTTAGAATGTTCTTCCAAATAATTTGGCTACCTCTTGATCTATTATCTATTTAGATATTATCTATTTAGACCTAAACTTCATACAGTCCCTATGAGCATAATATGAGAACCTTTTGTGTCTTATCTCTACTGCATTGTCCATTGTTACAAGTGTTCTGTGCTTAAAAATGGAAAGACCTTATTAATGACTTTTCAAGGGTAGGGTGGTGCTTGAACTCTTCTGGTTTGCAGCACGTGTGTAGTGGCAGTCTACAGTATGAGGCTTGTCAGTTGATATATAGCTGACTTTTATGTTTATAGATCAGTGACATGCAGCACATGCCATTAATTTGTCTTGGTTCTCCTTATTGCTAGAGTCCAGCCAATCCTGAGTATCCCAAGGGATACTGTTGGGCATGGAGAAACCCAGGCACCAGACTGTTCTTCCATTACTGATGCTCGTAACAATGAATCTTTAAACATACTGGTCAAGGAACTAGACAGTAATCTAGATTTGAAATTCAAGATGCCGGATGATCAAGCAAGACAAGTAAGAGATATTTTCTCGTTGGTTCTCTTATGTCATAAAGTTCTCCTCTTTATTGCCTTAAAAATCTTACTCGGAACACAAAAGATTCTGATACTTAAAAGATTGCTTGATGCCACAAGCCAATCAATACTTCCAATGAGGGGGGGCAAATGTTTTCTAATAGGGCTGGAGAGAGGGAGAACTTGTCACTCACTGTAAGACTTGTTGTCTTACTTCTTTCAAATGCTGACAAAAAGCACACAGAATAGGAAATTTAACTTACTATTTAAAATGACTACTTTCTCTTAAAAATTCTAACAGTCACTTGACATGATTCATGATCTTGGGGCTTCCAGTAACTACTGCATCTAACAAGTTGGTAACTTTAGACAGATTAGTCCTTCATGTTGCTTTCTGGAGATTGGCTGCTTTAATTGTTACATGTTCACATCACCTATTTAGAACAATTTTTCTTTTTTTTTTTTTTTTCTTTTTTTTCCCTTCACTAAAGGGAAGACTTGGGGAAGTGAGACTTGAATGACCCATGTAGATATATGCTGTAAAACTTATTCAGTTTAAAAAAAAATGTAAATCTTTGTTGTCCAGGTTTTGCATTCTCGTATCAACAATCAAACGATTACACAGGCGAAGATAGCAGCATTTCTAGATCATGCCATGAAAAAGGTATGTCAAAAACTGTAGCATGAGATAAGTTCATAATTCCTATTTGAGGCTTGTTTCTATACTTTGAAAGAAGCCAGTCAGTGATGTGCAAGAAATAAGCTTATTTGCTGCCTGTAACTGAGATGAAACTAACTTAAAAATCCATGTTTACAAGTAAAGCACAACCTTATAGCAAAATATCCATTTAATTTAGCTTAGTGTGGGCCAAACAGCCCTGTAGTTACTTGTTCTTGTTACTGCAGGACATGGAGCAGCAATATATTAGCTAATCCCAGCAGCCACTTGCTTAACTAAGAGAAATAGCTTGGAATTACTCCTCCATCTTTCACCCCTCCCTACATGCCTGCCTTTTGCTCTTCCTCCTCCTCCCCACTACTTTGCCTCCCACCACCACCCCCCAAAGAAACCAACCCTCTGTCAATCTTCTGTCAGGATAATTAGCACTCTGGGGCAAAGCATGTACAGCTGTATAACACCGTGTGGAATGCCACCTCCATCTTGCATGGGGCCTTTGAGAGTCATCACCAGCCAAATGACAGGAAGCACTGTGGTGGAGGTTGACTTTTTTTGATGTGTGAAGCTGATATTTCTCAGGTTAACTCTCTTGTACAAGTTGTGTCAAGGCAGTGTATGTATGTATTGTTTTTAGTCTAAAATCAGTACCATTTACTATGTGCATCTGTCTTACCCAGAAGAAAAATTAACAGGAGCTGATTGCTAGTACTGTGCTGTTCAGAACAGTCCTATCCATGTCTAATGTCTTACTGTTGCAGTGCATAAGTATTTCGGTTTAAACTGTAGTATTCTGTTGCCTTCACACTAAAAGTCTGAACTTCTGGGTCATCTAGATGCTGATGTAAGAACACTCTTGTGCCATGGCTGTTCTGCTAATGATAAACTTTCTAGAGCAGGAGTGCCATAGTTGGTACCTTTGTATTGGGAAAGACGGAGTGCTAATAACTTGCTGATGATTTAAAGAAAGGTCATTGAGACCTGCGTATGGAGTGTAATTCAGTGAGGAGTTTGGCATGAACAACATGCAAGTAATGTTATGTATGTTCACTACAAAATAGGGGCAATTACATAGTTTTACAATTATAGATTATGTAAGGTACTCTGAACAAAGAGGTAACAGATCCTTTTGATATCTTCCAGTTCATCTTGAACCATAAGTAGAACTCTCTTGTGTGTGAGGCTGTTCTTAACATCTGGAAGAAAATCTTTGTACTGATTAACTTTTTCAACACAGTATTACTGTAATGTCAGCTGTATTGCATCAACACAATAGTACTGTAAAGATCCTTATCTGTTTCACTTTAATCCTAGCTGCATTTTTCTTACTCATGCATGCCTTTTGGCTTCAGACACATAGGCTGGATTGAACATCAGTTTCAGTTGTTGCTTTCATACTTTAAACTCCTTGTAAAATTGGGTAACACGGAATGCTGAAAATATTAAAAACTAGAATGTAAGTGTGTGTAAATGATTTCAAACTGCTCCATCTGAAAGTGGATTTTTACATGGCTCTGTCCAACTGTCAGTATCTTAAAGTTTTACTGTTTCTCCTCTAGGATGAGTGTTTGTTTTTTCTGTTATAGGGGAAAGATGAGGAAGGAACATTCAAGGTGTATTTGACACTTCCTCCGTTCTTCCACCTGCCCTCACTTGTTGCTTGCTATTTTGTAATCTTTAAACAGTATCTAATGCGTGTCACTTGTCAACTTTGATAAAACAAATAGATAACTAAATCTAAGAAAGAACAACTCTGAAACCTTAAATTGACAGGAAGTCTTGATGCTGATTATAGGACCTGGAAGTACATCTAACTACAATTTAAAAGCTACCTGACCTTCAAATTGTAACATTTCTACATAGAGCTGAATTAATGTAATTTTAAGACTCTGAAGCAGCGTGCAAATACTGCTTCCTGAGGCAAGCTAACCATTATCACTTGTATGTTTTAAGGGATTTGGTGGTAGTGATACAAGGCAGTCATGTGAGTAGAGTGTGAGCAACAGCTGCTACTAAATTACAGTTCAGACTGTAAATCCTATCAATTTGAGTAGAGCAGAGCAGGTTGAACAATCTGCTAGCAGTCAGAGCCAAGTGTAATTTGTAACTAGTTAATATGCAAGGGTGAGGTTTGTTTGTTTCTTAGCAAAGACCAGGCAATTCTGTCTTCCTGAGACATCTCTTTGTGGGTGTTTTCATCTTTTTCCCTGACTCTCCTATAGCCGGAAGATCCTCTATGGCTTGTGCTTAATGAAGCTGGATTATACTGGCGTGCTGTTGGAAATAGCACCTTTGCTATCACCTGTTTGCAAAAAGCATTTAATTTGGCTCCACATGAGTATCAGGACATCCCTCTGGTCAACCTTGCTAACCTCTTGATTCATTATGGTCTTCATCTGGATGCCAGCAGGCTCCTTCTGAAGGCTTTAGCCATCAATGCCTCTGAGGTAAGATGATGGGTTTTGTGTTTGTTCAGTGGTGAATGTCCTTTCCTTCGTTATTTTCTAAATACATGTTACTTACTTGTGCTTACTTACCTGTGCATGCAGTTCAGCTTCTAGCTTGTGGTTTGCCACAGATGTTAATTTTCATTTAAATTTCTTGATCACACTGGGAGTGATGCTGGTTGCTGAGAATATAAACACCTAGAGCGAAAGTTCTTCTAAAATAGATGACAGACTTTTTGCCTCTGTATTATCAGCAGTGGCTCCAAGGAATCTAATCCTGGTGTTTTGGCAACATTTTCGTCTACAACAGAGATACATAATGCTGTCAGCGTTGTGTCTTGATTTTTAAGACCCTTTAAGTAGCACGTATGTCACCAAGATCTTTGGCTGCATAGACATCTTTCTGTGTCACTTGACTTTGTACTGTTTTATTTGTCCCTGGATTTCACCTATATACCTAGAGAAAAAGCTGTGTTCTAGTCGTTGGGTGACTTTACTTCCAACCATAGATTCAAAACAGGTTTTTGTATTTCTGATTGACAACACTATAAACATTTTGTAGGTTGTCACCTATGTCACGCAGAAAATTTGTGTATAAACTGTTTAAACTACTCGTCTGGCCAGAACAATTGTGGAAAGGAAGTGGGTGGCAGGGGACACCTTTTCTCTAGCAAGTAATTTTGTTCTTGCATTTTAGATGCTTCAGTAAGAAGTTCAAGTGACTTTTTCTTGTGCTTCCACCTCTGTAGTTAGGTAAACAGAGAGCTTAAACCTGTTAGGCTACCAGTCATCTAGCACACAAAGAAGTTAAAACAGAGTAAGTTTTTTCAATATAGCATTCAGGAACGATTTTGCAGTTGTTGGAAAGGAATCTGGCCCATTTGGGTGGGAAGGTAGGAGTGCAAAAAGGAACTATAGGAAGAACTACGCTTGAATGATGTGCTGTAAGAAGAACACTTGAAATCATCCTTGGAGGGGAGGAGCCTAGGGATCCTTAGGACCATACTGAGTAGGGCTTTTCTTCAAAAATACTGGTGAGTCCTACCTCATTACAATAATGCCTGCTCCTGTTTTTTTCAGGCATTCTCAGTCCAGTAATACCTATGGTACCAAAAAATCTGGCAGGAGAATTTGTCCTTGAGTACTATTTCCTGGAATATAATGTAAAGTAAATACAAATTGAAATTAATTACAGCTACAGGGAGTGAAGGATGTGCTACATTAGCAAAGGCTTTTAAAAAAAAAAAGAATGCTGTTGCTCAGCTTGCACTTTTTTCTGAATGGTTTTTAATAATACAAGCTAAGATGAGTTTGAAAAATCTTAAGCTACTGATCAGTCCCCATGTTTTCAGATAATGAATGTAAAATTATTTCAGTGGGAAAAAATGGCTGCTAAATTACAATATTATAATGTTATTCTAGCATTATACTGTTAATTGCAGCAAATTACTTTGTGTAAGACTTCTCAGTCAACAAACAAAATGTATTGCTTTACTATGTGCCTGTATTCAAGTGCTAATTAAATTCTGCCTAGTGAAAAAGGTGTTTGTAATTGTACTTTTTAAAAAATACATATTTTAGGGAGACCAACCAAAAGCCATGGACAAAAATATTAAGTTTTATAAAGAACTGAAACTAAACATAAATATATACCCCTAAGCTAGCGTGACATTGGTGTTTTCAGTAACCTAGTTCTGCTCAAGTAAATCCTGAACACTTTTGACAAATGAAATGCATCTGTCCTGGCAGAAGACTAGTAATATTTTTACATTTTTGCTGACTTTTAATCATTCTAAAATGTCTTCAAGCATTTCAGTTTAGTTCTTTGCTACTCTGTGCAAGAAGCATTATGTTCATGATGGGTTATAAGTAAGTATTTAATGCTTCATTTCAGTTTTTGTGTATTTAACAGCTGGTTTTCATCATAGGAAGATGGAATCCTGAACACAACCTTATGTCAAAACAGCTTTTATTTAGTACCAATGCATCAAGCTGATAGTTCTCCATTCTAAGAACAGGCAGTCCTTACTTAAGAAGTTTTCTAAATTCTTTTCAGCCAAATTTGGGAGGGTGTGGATTGACAGGAGGTTTTCCTATCAATCTTAAGCAGTGAACTTACTTATGCTGGGGTATGTTGCTTTTCTCTTCGCAGCCGCTGACTTTTTTGAGCCTAGGAAATGCATATCTGGCTCTAAACAACATTAGTGGAGCCCTGCAGGCCTTCAGACACGCACTGGATTTGACAACAAAGTGCTTGGAGTGTGAAAGCAGCCTGAAGATGATCCGCTGTTTGCAGTTTTATCCTTTTCTGTACAACATCACCTCTTCTGTGTGCAGTGGTAAGCAACTGCTGAAAGATGGACCACAAGTGAAATAGTGTCTGTTTGCCTTGGGTGTTGACCTGAAATTCATGATTACTCTGCTTTTTTTCCAAGGATCCTCCCTTTTGCTTTATAGTGCTTTTTCCCTATAAGGACCAAGGTTGAGGCACGGCTTTTAATGAAAAAGTTAGTCTGTTAAGAAGTGCTTGAGGATGACTTCTTAAATATCTAGAGGGCTGCCACTGAGTGCAAGTTACTTCCTGAGTATGCCCCACTGATATCTCTTACTGGTAAATGAGGAATGCTGGATTCGGTATTTATGGAAGTGCACAGCTACTACTGCTAGGCTACTCAACAGCCCCTTGTCTTCTTAAAGAAGAAGAATTTGGTGAAGAGCAGTTTAGTTTAAATTCATATCTGTTCAGTGTGTTCCCTACTTTGGATGTCATTTTCCAGTGCTCAGTCTTTACTTTACAGAATAGACTATATAGTGTCAACATTATTTTGTTTATATGGGATCTGTGGTCACAGCTCTTAACCCTCCAAAAATCTGTAAGAAGAATGACTTTAAACCCAATCTCTCAAAAAAAAAAAAAATTTAAAATTTTGATATAGAATGCTTTACTGTCCTTAGTGGCTACTTGTATAAAAAAAAAGTAATAGCCTTTGGAGATGGATTCTTTCATTTCAGTGAATCCCACTGAATAGTTCAAGTATTTTGTCTGTACTTGCATATGGCTAATATGCTGCTCATGAGCAATCTTGAAGAACATTTGTGAATATACTTTGTAATAATCCCTTCTCTCTCCTATTGTTACTAAGGTATCTTTCCATCTAATCTTTCCTTTGTTTTTAAATGAAAACCTCACATAAGAGAAATGCTTTTGATTTTTAGTATTGCTAGGACTTTCTCTAAATTATTTTTTTTTTAATTCCCTCTCCAGTGGAAAGACATGGAGAAACTTCATCTGATTTAGCATCTAGAATTACACTGCCTAAACATAGACTAGAGGCCATCATATCTCCTGGTACAATATGAATGATGCCATTGTAGGTGAAATTCCAGAATTATGTCATTAGAATAATACTGTCTTTTTATGGCCTTATGCATTTTTGCTTTGACTGACAGCACATGAGTTGTGCAGAGAAATAAATGTTGTTTGGTTAAATGTGGTTTCGTAAGTGGTATTATGGCTCAACTGATGGGTCTCTTACTGATTTCCGTAATGTCAACTCTAAGACCAGTACTCTTCATTGAATCTCTTAACATCAGATTGCCCTTCTTTTAAAAATTCCAACAGCTACCATAAGTGGTAGTGGAACTTGCACATTTAATCACAAGAGAAGCTTTCACTGTTCTGGAAAAAAATTTGAATATTTGTTTACTTTTTATTAAGATCTTCTTTAAAAATGGCTGCAACTCGCTAGGTTAAAGTTATTCCAGTCAAACCTTAATGATAGCCACTCTAATTTGAAGTTAAGCAGAAAGTAATTTAAAAGTATATTCACAGAACTGAGATAGTAACGAGCAATGGGTGTATTTGAACCTCAAAGTGATCTTTTACATTTTTCTTTTCTTTTGTATGCTTTTCTTCCTTAAACTTGTCATAATACTTGAAAAAATACTCCTCCAGTTTGGCTGATTTTTGGCTGCTGTTTGCACTGATTTCTGATTCAGGCTGTTTATTTTGAGGTCAATTATTACTGCATATGCTGTTAAGGAAGTTTATGTTTCTTGAATGTGAGGAGAAAGTATAATTCCTTTTTTGCTAGCTTGGCCACAGGTTAACAAGGTGAGCGTGAATATATTCGCCTAGTACATTGGGGTTGGTTTTGTTTCTAAGGAATCTGTGGAGCTGCTAAATCGAGAGAGCTGAATATGCCTTAGCATGTTAATTTGCTCATTAAATTTCAGTGTTCCAGTATTTAAGTATTTTACTCTATATTTTTGCCTTTTTCTGGCAAAAGTATTTTACTCTATATTTATATTTTTGCCTTCTTCTTTTCCTGTCTTAATATTTCTTTCTTTTTCATTTCTATTTATAATACCCTTTAGGTCGTCTTTTGTCTGAGTGCAAGAAACCTGAGAGTATGAACGTGACAAATAGTGTAAATGTTCTTTGTACATTCTTGTGCAGAGTGTAAAATAAACATACTGGTTAATTCAACCTTGATGATGATTTGTGGTTTCAGTCAAAACTCAGAATTCAAAAATGGAAAGGTAGATTTGCCTATCTTATTTTCATAAGGTTTGGGGAAATATTTTTTTTTTTTCCCCCACTGTAAACTTCAACTGACTTGAGAGGAGCCTTGACAGGCTGTATGAAAGTGAGGCTAAGTCTCCAAAACCAGAATTATTTCAAGAATGCATACCCAGAAGTCACACTTCGCACTTACAAGTATCCTGACATTTTGGGAGTCTTCTGTTCATCCTTCAGTCCAAAGAAAACAGTTGAAAAGAGATTGTAAGTTTGAATTTTGACCTTACATACGTAACGCAATAGTATATACAATTATTCAACCACTACATAAAACCTAAAAAATGCAAACTGTATGTAGATGCTAATATTTAACATTACCTTTTGCACTTACAGCATTTGTTAACATGTTAATATGCAGACTTCCAGATTCATAAAGCAGCATGATCTGCTCTTGTTTGTCTCCATGACAGACTGGAAAGCATGTTTTGATGATGAGATGCAAACTGAACTCAAACTTTCACACACCTTTCTGAATGGGGATTTAGAGCTAATGCAGCACATTTGTAAATAAATGGATCAAATGTGTGCTTGACAATCCCAGTATCACTGGTTGTTACTTCAGGAGATTTTCACAGCCTTTCAGATCATGTGTTGCTGCTTGGGGACAATCTGATACTGAATTTAGTTTGTCCTCTTTTTATAACGCACTTGATGGCATGTGGTAACTATTTATATCCTTTGAGATGGATATGTTATGCTGAAAAAATTACCAAGAAATGGGAATGTCAAATGTTGTCTCTAGTTTAATATCTTGTTTTGATAAGCATTCATTCAGTATTTCAGAAAGTAACAGCAGTAGGGCTGCTTGTGCTTTGGGTTGTAGGCCCATGTGATAGCTGTGTTTTTGCTTCGCCTGTCAAAAGCCTCTATTCACGAGAACTGAACTAACTAGCGAGACACGGAGTTCCTTGCTCTGCTGCCGTGAACCATCGGCAGAATCCAACAAATGGTCAGTGGGACTTACATGCTAGCATGGGATGGAATATGGGATCAAAAATCTGAATTTATAGCCTGATTTTTGATTACAGCATGTGCCTAGTGTATATTTCAAATAGGGGAAATAGGAATTTTCACAAGCATGTCGGGATGTTTGCTGTTAGCACAGGACTTTAGAAGTGTGATACACTAACACCGATTTGTTGAATGCTTGCTTATATGCTTCTGTCTGTACTGCTGCCTGGTATTAGAAACTTATATTTCAAACCCAAGTCACTTCATCCATATGAGAAGAGGAATTAAAAACCTCAGACCAGCACTTTTCTGTTTAATTTCTGCCACCTATATTGAAGTACATACACATTTTTGGTTTTGTTGTAAAAGGATTTCTAAATCTGCAAAGGGTTTTGGTGGTTGTTTGGTTTTTTTCTAATGGAGGAGGTGTGTGAAGTGTCCAAAACTTAGAACATCTGTATCACCTGTGATGTGTGTTTTAGGCAGCTGCAGGAGTTCAGTCAGTTGCAACTAATATGGATACTATGCAGCAACAGTGCTGCAGTGCTACATATGCCTCCATTACTTGGACTAACTGCCCACATACTGCCTTATTGCCAAATAACGTGAGAAAACGGTCAGAAGACTTCATTGTTACGGGATTATTCTGTGGTGGTCCTTCCAGAGGTGACTTGGCAGTGTTAAGGGTGTTGCTACTGAATGATCAACCGTTACATTACTGGCAAGTCAGTTCCTGAAGCATGTTAAGCAGCAGAAACTTTATGTTGCTTGTCAGATACCTAAGCAGCCGTACAGATCTGACAAACAAATAACAGGACCAAGAGACTTGCATAACAAGTGTAAAAAAAACTTCATGTGAAAAACATGGTCAACTCTCAGAGCTGCAGAAGTTAGATACTTTGGCTTTGTGCTGCTCATTAAGCTGGTAGAGAAAACCAGCATTATTTTTGTCTGATATTGAAATGGTACATTGGCAGGATTTGGTGTACACACCTTTATGGCTTAAAAAATTGCAAGTAGCTCTTACCCTGTGACAAGGTCTATAGAGGAATATCCAACTAATGCCTAAGGGATTGTTCCGGTGGCACTTCACTGGCCAATGTGAACATTCAGATGTTGTCAACCCTCATTAAAAAGGTAACAATATACTAGAAGCATTTTTAGTGTGATGGTCAGCTGGCTGTTGAATCATGCTGATTTGTTAATTGCTGTTGCATAGGACTTTTCCTTATGTGTGTAAACAGAATTGCTCCTTGGACAATCAGAAGTCATTTGTACTCAAAATATTTTTACCTGACTGTAAGCATCTACCTCTGACAGTTCTAATTCGTTATGATCTCATGTACTTCACCTTCTTGTAGACAAGATCAAAATTCAAAATCTTAAACTTTCTATTAATAGACTGATGGTATTCAAAACATGAAGCACAACTCGTTTCAAGCTTCAAGTTTCTTTAGTCTCACTGTCATTACTTGGCAGGATAATGCTTTTACAAAAAGCTTTGTGCTGCTCTGTTGGAAGTAGAGGCAGCGTGAGTGCCTTATGAATGTGTGTGCATGCCACCAAGATATCTGAATGCTTTTATGTAGTGAGTGTGTATGTTTGTGAAAGCAATGCATACTTCCTTACTTTATGACAGTTCTGTAATGTGTACAGCAACAGCTTAATGATCCGTTTTAAGTATGATTTTAGTGCCCTCTTGTGGTAGAAATACCCTATACCACGTGAAATCAAAAGTCTTGTTTTATTTCATCTACTTCCTCTTAAAATAAAACAATAGGAAAAGGTATTTGAACTTTTAAGTGT